CCCTCGGCCGGCCCGGCGAGCCCGGGCGTGCACCGAGCTGACGGAGGATGGCCACCTCTGTGGTGGAGAAAAGCTGCAAGAAGAAGACGGAGAAGAAGCTTGCTGCTCGAGAAGAAGCGAAATTGTTGGCGGGCTTCATGGGTGTCATGAATAACATGCGGAAACAGGTATGTGGCGGACGGCGGGGCGGGGGGTGGCGGGGTCCGGACTCTGGCCCCTTGCTTCCTGGGCCGAAATGCGCGCGCCCTGTGGACCCAGACCCTCTTCTTCCTCCGTCCTCGCCCTTCCTCCCATTTCCACGCCAGCCAGCTGCTGTTAGGAGAGGGTCGCTTTCAGTGCCTCCTCGTCTATCGATGCCCGGACTCCCAGGTCAGACCCTGGGAGCTTCCCCGGGCTGGCATTCGGCGCCGGTGTCGGTGGTGTGGCGGCTCTGCCCTAGGCATGGCCTTGGGAGGCGAGGAGCCCCCCTCCACCGGCGAGCCGTGTAAGCGCGGTGTCAGGTGTCAGGAGATCGGGTGCGAAGAAGCCCAATGGCACAGCCCAACCAGAAGCCCCCGCAGCGGGGAGAGAAGCATGGCCGGGCCTGAAATCTAGCTCCTCTCGCATAAGCATCCCCGCCCCCTTCCGAGGTTGCGGCACCCTCCCCTGCATGTTAATTTCGAGCTGAGACGGCCATCGATCAACGCCGTGCCGCTGCCTTTGGAGGGCCCCGTGCGCCTCTGCTGCGCGGACGGGCTCTTTGTTCTGTCTGGGGTAGGAGGCGCCTTCGTTCAGGGCTTCACGCGTCGGCGAAAGGTGGGTTATGAAAAGAACCGATTTTAATACGCCAGAGAATGTCGGCTAGAGTTTTGTGTGTGTGTTTTTTTTTAAATTCCATAACATCTTATACCAATAGAGCATTAAAAAAAAATCACTTGATTACTTTTTGATTCTGTAAACTTTATAGGAAATAAGAGTCTAAGGAGACTTGTAAGCATGTTTCGGTTTTGTGACCCTGGCCCAGTTTTTCAAGAGGACAAAAGCAGGTTGTCGGAGTACCTGCCAGACCTGGTTTGCTTATCTAGTGGTTCTGATGGGAATGGGGATGACCGTAGAGGAATTTAAGATCCTTATGAAGATATTTAGGTTTGGCTTCTTTACGGGAATTCTGGCCGATGGGATCTTGTCTTTGTTCATCCGCTCCTGGCTGGCGTGGCGCATGAATGCAGGCGATCCTCTGTGGGAACGCCTTTCAATCTTTTCCTAGCCTTTGTGCTGAAAGAGCTGTGAAATGCCTGAATTCAGTATTTTATGTAACTTACTTTATGTATCTATTTGTATGTATCCATTCATGTTGCTTTCTTTCATTGTGACCACACCACCATTTTTATGTATTACAGCACTACTGACTTCAAATTTCTGGTGCATTTAACTACGGTAGTTGGACACAGTCCACCAGGGCTCACATTTGTTTTCAGCAACCTTTCCACTCCTTCAGATAATGCGTTTTCTTCCGTGGACTGTAGCATGATAAAGCATTGCCTCATTTCTTGCAGAGACAACGTGCTCGTAGGTTACAGTGTCACATGTTTACTTGAGGAGAGGGGATTGCCTGAGACTGTGTAATTTAGCTCCTTAGGTTTTAAAATGGATTTATATCCATTGCGTAGACTTAGCTTTGGACTATATTAACATCTGTTTACCTACTGTCAAAATAGAAATACAGTAACTGAAAAATCAGGATTCTGTACTGAGTAGGAAGGGAAAATGGATGCTAGGTGACATTTCTTCTTCGGTGGTTAACTGACCTTAATCTGCTGGATCCTTTTTTTGTCAATGGCTTTGCCTGTAAGTCCAGCAGTTCTCCAATAGTACTTTTCCCAACTTCATGGAATCCTGCCTCTTTTGCATCTAAGATGTGTAGGTTCATTTTGCAGTTGATTTACGTTGCACTTGTGTTGTTCTATTTAACATCATAACACAAGAGAGACTCACCAAGAATGACTGACAAGGGCAGTTGATAGGGATTGGCAGGAATAGAAGCTGGTTTGGCCAGAGAAGGAATGTTTGAGTGAGGACCGATTTTATATGTGTCTTTGTTCTTTCATGAATGTTTTTGTGTAATGACTATTTTTGCTTACCCTTATGACCTCAGTACTTTGGGAATCAGGATAATGAGTACCTGACTGACAAGGATTCCTCTATGAAACATTTCTGTAAGAATTTGAGAACACTGCAATTAGAAAACCTGAGTTCCAATCCCTGGGCTACCGTTAATTAGTTTTATTATTTTTAGATAATTTGATTTAGGTCATGTCATCTCTCTGTAACATAGTAGCCAATCTTATACATAGTGATGAAAGGGGGTTCTGCAGAACCAGCAGCTTTTTCTTTTTTTTTTTCAACTTCTTATGGAGCCTTTTCCTCCATCACCCTTTCAGTCATTTCTGGCCTTTTGTTTTTAAGTGCATTTTCCAATGAAGTAGAGGATTCATGTAAAAGGATACAAATCATAAAGTGCAGCTCAATGAATTGTTACCAAGTGATCCCTCCTTATGCCCTTCTCAGTCACTATCCCTCAAAGGTAACTATTATTCTTCTATCACCATAGATTTTTCTTTTACTTTTTTTGAACTTATATAAATGGAATCATAAATACTCTTGTCTTAGTTTCTTAAAGACTATGTTTGTGATTTTTATCTATGCTGTTAGATATACTAATAGCTCTAGTTCATCCTCATTCTATATAGTATTCCATTGTATAAAAACACCACATTTTATCCATCCTATCGTTATGGACATCTGGGTCATTTTCAGTTCGGGACTGTTGAGAAGAGCACTACTTTGAACATTTTTGTACATGTCTTTTGATGTGCACATGTATGCATTTCTGTTGGGAAATACCTAAGAATGGAGTTGTTGAGTTATAGATTATGCTGCATAAAGTTTTATAGATACTGTCATAGTTTACAACATTTTGCCAGTTCACATTTCTGCCAGCTGTGTGTGAGAGAGGCTTTTGCTCTACATCCTTGTCAATACTTAGTATTCTCAGTCTTTATAATGCTAGCAATTCTAGTGGGTGTATAGTGGCATCTTATTTAATTAGGTTGCACACCTTTTCATTTCTTTTCCTAAATTTTTGTTTATATTCATTTTCTTACCTGATGGCACTAGTAAAGGGCACTACAAAGCAGGACTGAGTCATAGTCACTGCTGCACATATCCAGTTGTTTCTATTGTGTCAATGAAGTCCAGGAGACCCTTAGCATTGAGGGATACGTTTTGAGACCTTCCTGGGTACCACTATAGTTTCCTCATGTTAAATGAACTAAAGCATACCTGGAATTTAAAAGCTTATGTAAGCTCTATTGAAAGTGATAGGAGAGAACCACAAGGCTGATTTGAGCATTAGATGCTGGGTAGTCATCTAGGCTCACTAACTAAAATGGCTCAACTTCTGTACACTCACCTCTCCAAGACTGTAAATTACTGCATATCACTAACCTTAGGGTCTCTTATGAAACACTTCTTGAGCACTTATTTTCTACCAGCCATTCTGCAAAGTGTTTTACATGCTTTGTCATATTTTATTCTCATAACAACTACCATCTGCAACAGCTACCTATTCTGTCTTAGGTAAAAAACAACTTATTGCAAGAATACAGGAGCTGGGAAACCATAAAAATACTAGGAGAATCCAAAGGCAACAAAATCTCAGACATATGCCAAAGCAATTTCTTCACCGATACAGATCCTAGGGCATTGGAAACTAAAGAGAAAATAAACAAATGGGACTACATCAAAATAAAAAGTTTCTGCACAGCAAAAGAAACCATCAACAAAACAACAAGAAAGCCCACTACATGGGAGAACATATTTGCCAACATTATATCTGATAAGGGCCTAATCTCCAACATTTATAGGGAACTCATACAACTTAACAAAAGGAAGATAAACAATCCAATCAAAAAATGGGCAAAGGACCTAAATAGACACCTTTCAAAAGAGGACATTCAGAAAGCCAAGAGACATATGAAAACATGCTCAAAGTCACTAATCATCCGAGAGATGCAAATCAAAACAACAATGAGGTACCATCTCACACCTGTCAGAATGGCTATCATCAACAAATCAACAAACGACAAGTGCTGGAGAGGATGTGGAGAAAAAGGAACACTTGTGCACTGCTGGTGGGAATGCAGACTGGTGCAGCCACTATGGAAGACAGTATGGAGTTTCCTCAAAAAACTGGAAATGGAACTCCCATTTGACCCTGTGATCCCACTTCTAGGAATATATCCCAAGAAACCAAAAACACCAATCAGAAAGGATATATGCACCCCTATGTTCATAGCAGCACAATTCACCATAGCTAAGATTTGGAAACAGCCTAAGTGCCCATCAGTAGATGAATGGATTAGAAAACTGTGGTACATCTACACGATGGAATACTATGCTGCTGTAAAAAAGAAGGAACTCTTACCATTTGCAACAGCATGGATGGAACTGGAGAGCATTATGCTAAGTGAAATAAGCCAGTCAATGAAGGAAAAATACCACATGATCTCACTCATTCATGGATAATAGAGACCATTACAAACTTTTGAACAATAATAGATACAGAGGCAGAGCTGCCTCAAACAGATTGTCAAACTGCAGCGGGAAGGCTGGGGAGGGTTGGGGGGCAGGAGGGAAGGGGGTAAGAGATCAACTTTTGTTTCTCTCTCATCGATGTTTCTAACTCTCTATCTCTCTCCCTTCCTCTCTGTAAAAAATTAATAAAATATATTTAAAAAAAATAAAAAAAAATAAAAATGCAAAAAAAAAAAAAAAAAGAATACAGGAGCTTACAGCATTGACCACAGCTGGAAGACAAGCAGGAACCAGGGATTATCTGGTAGCAAGGCTGCAGAAACCCTGGAGTCGAGGTTACTGTGCAGGAACAGTCTTAACCACTTGCTGTTGCTGCCATTAGGTGGTTTTCCCTCCACCTTTCATTCACTCAAGGTTCAGAATCCTGGAGGTAGTTGTCTAATTGGCTGGCCTTCTATCATTTGCCAGATTTAGGCTCTACTGTGAATAGAAAAAAAAAAATCTTGACTTTTTGCTTTTTTTTTTTTTAAATATATTTTATTGATTTTTTACAGCGAGGAAGGGAGAGGGATAGAGAGTTAGAAACATCGAT